ATTGCGTTGTGTTGTTGTGGAGCTGAGATAATGTAGGTGTTTTGATGGTTCGGCGCATTGCGCGAATCCGCGCATTGCGCGCACGGACACGGTAACGCTGACAGCCTAGCTATCGTAGCGGCTGCCTCCCGACATCCCATCCTCGCACACTTTGTCTACTACAATCCTCCCACACCATCTCCCACCATCCTAGGCTCAAATTGTCTTTTCCCACTGACCTGAATGTATTCGCGTCGGTCCACTCTTTCTCCTGTGCCAAGGTTACAAATCCATGGCCCCAGTCACCATAGCACCCCAGCCCAGCGCCTATGGACGTCTGACCGAGATGTGGAAACTGGCCATGCAATGTCCACTCGCTGATGCCTCCGTCTTCAATGTGGGAGCAAGTGAACACACGCACCCCCAGCACGCTATACCAGCTGAAGACCTCTAGCACCGCACGCGCTTACTCAAGCACTCGTACTGGCATCCATTTGATGCTGAAAAAGTGCTCCAGGCTGCGCGACGCCAGCGCATCGACCTCAAATCCGGCACAATTGCAAAGAGGGTCACACACGTCTACGCTGGCCGCGTGCGTATGGAAGGAAATGAGATGCCGCTTTCCGTTCTTACGGCGCGAAATCTGGAGCAGGCCCTGGCCCTGGCTCGTCGGCTTGAGTGACCCGGGATGCGACGGGGCGAGCGCAGCAAGCAAAGGGCCTACGAAGTCACTGGCCAAAGCCATGTCGCATTGGTGTAGCCCCACACATAAGATGTCAGGGCTTCCAATCTTCTGTCCGTAAGTGGCTACGATGGTCCTGTCGTCGAGTGTCGGCTTCACAACCACGACTTGATCGTGGCCCCAGCCCATCACGTCGCCCACGAGCACCGATGCATCTTGTTCCGCTTCGAGCTCGAGGTCGAAGTCTGCCGTCACAAAGTTGGCGTTGCCGGCATGGTCAAAGTCAGTCTTCCCTAGATTCACCCACTTACTGCCCTACTCCTTAGGTCCGGCGCACGCCAGCAAGATGCTCTACCTCAAGGCGCTGGCACCTCTTAATGGCTTGACAAAGCGGTAGGGCGCCTTAGGAAGAGGCAGCGTCGTTTGCACCAAGCTGTTGCCCAGTAGTCCAACCAGCACTTGATTCTGAGACTGCGAGACAGCGACCATCTCTCTCGGCAATGAAGCGAGTCAGATTCAGCATAAAATCCGCGGGGACGCTGCTGAGGATGGTTGAGCCTCTGCTCCATAAAACATGCATGGCCCAGGAATGAGTTGTTGCAAAGGTGGCACAGGCACCGTTGGGCAGCCTGCCGGGACATAGATCCGATGTATATTCCGTCTTCATCATCTCGATAACCCCGCTCCCATCGGTCATTGCTATGTAGGTGAATCCGATGATGCCAGTCCTCTCGCCAGATCGCATCCAATGCAGGACTTCTCTGTTCGGCACGGTTTTCTGATCGATAAGCCTGTTGTGAATGGTGAATGTCGACTGGGTCTTGTCCGCAAACTTGACTTTGGCTGGCGTCCAAATGTTGATGCAGTAGCTCTCACTGGCGCTACCGTCGAGATCTTAGATCTGGATAAACCCGCCAGATAGCAACCCGTCAATTGATATCTGCATTGGGAATTGGTCTTTCACCCACGAAGTCAACAGCCTTTATGGTATTGCCGAAGCCGGAATCGCCTAGGGATTGAGTCCGTCGGGCGCTGTAGTTGGAATGGTCGTTTAGGTCCTTACGAACCGTGGATTGGCTTTCTGTGGCGTTGTCGTGCAAAGCTATCCACAACGGGGGCAGAATTGCGCTTGTCATATCTACCCCATCCGTTATTCTTCCAGTTCTGGGGTTCGATAGCGGTCATTGGCTGGGGTCGTCGTGAAGCTTATCATGTTCGTGCCTCCTTATCCCTTCCAAATTTACATATTGATGTCCGGAAACTGGAAACTTCTATTTTCCGCCCCATCCTTTTCTTGTTTTTCATTTGAAAGACTCCGTTATGTGCCTGCATACAGCGGTTTCACAGTGCGAAACGGTACATTGCGGCCTCGCTATTTGCGAGCCTTACCCAACCGTATCTCAGGCTAAGTATGACCTCAATTCGTTTTATAACCTTTTTGGGGTAACTATACTATATCAGATTATCTTTCTCAGAAAAGAATGGCAGGTCACACCCCAACCTGCCGGAATCAGGTATTAAAATGACGAAACATACAAAGAGATCTAGGCATTGCAATCTGGTCCAAGTTGGATGGTTTTTACCTCGATTCGATTGAGTTTGGGTTTGGAGAGATTTGAATCTGATCTTCATGTTTTCAGACTTGCGATCGGAATACCAATCCTCTTCTAGGCTGGACAGCTAACGTCTATCGTCACGTCCGCAGTAGCAGAGACGGGAACCCATGCCACAGTTGCACGCAGCGCTTTATCCATTTCCCAGCGGACCTCAACATTTCCCTCGATATTTACTTTGACTTCGTCCAGGTTCATTTCCACTGCAGGCCACCTTGAGGCATGCCATACCACAATGCGATACTCTCGGCCAATGTCCCGCTCGACCAGGTCATCTCCATACTTCGAGAACGGTGTTGAAACTCTTATTCGCCGTATGTCTCTCATTTGGTCGCTACCAAATTCACTCATGGTTGTCTGATCGAATTTTACGTGCCGGAATATGCTATTCGCCTCATGGTCTCCATATGCGTTGGCCAGTTTCGTCACGACCTCTCCCTTAGCTTCATTTGGTAGTGCAGAGAGGTAGACATTACACGGGGCGCTCTCTCGTGATACCCCATCGTCGAGATACATGTCGTAGCTGTTATCCTTGCCGGGGTAAATATTGATCGTCAGTGGATTTGGCGGAGCATCTTTGTCGTCCCGAGTGCGATCCGGTACCCAGTTACCAGCTGCCATTTGCGGTATGATGCCACCCTCGCGGATGTACATTGGTGTAGCATAAGGTAGCTGTTTCTCATCTGGAGAGATGTGACAGTCGAAATCGACATACGTACCACCACGGACCCAGGGAGCCAAAGGTTCAGCAAGAATACCATTCAGATATAGTTGTGTTCCTGGGCGTAGGTTCACGGGATACCAGTAATCCGGAGCAGGTAGATATAATCTTCGTATCGTTCGCTGACATTCCTTACAAAGAGCTGGAGCGACAAGAAGATCATTGCGGACCAGATACTGACTCCGCGTATACCACTGGTTTGCATCATAGAGTGATGAGTCCAATGGATCGGTAATGATCATGGCTCGCGCAATCGGCAAACCGTTGATCATGTGTTCAAACATGGCATCATACAGTAGCTGAAGCAGACTGTACCTCAGCTGAATTACGTAGCGGCAAATTGGCAAGACAGAGTAATATGTATTGCGATCTTTTTCAGGGACAAACCTCCAGTCAGGCGAATTCTGCAGTTCAGCGTAGGCATAAGGTTCTTGGAAACGTTTCTTGCCCCCCTTGCCACTGTAATGGTTTCGAAACCACGGTAGCAAGCTGTATGCGCAGTACCATCGAATTAGAAGTTCAGGGTCGGCCCAGGACTCGCCATCGTGTAGGGGTTCGAAACCACCAACATCCGCTCCGGCGATAGTCACACCAGCGAGTCCGAGTGCAAGCACCTGTGTCACAGAAATATCCAAAAATTCCCAGGTAGAAGCGTTGTCGCCGGTCCAGAGTCCCGCAAAGCGTTGAGCACCGGCAAAGCTGCCACGGCCGATGATGAAATTACGTTTACCCCTGCGACTCTCAAGCTCCTGCAAACCATGGAATGTAGCTTTGTGGAGATTGTAGCTGTATAGAGACCAAATCTCAATGGCCTTTTTCTTTTCAGCAGCCTTAGGGTCTCCACTCCAGCCGTCCGAATCCAGAAGTAGACGAAATGGCCAACTTCCAAGGCTATCAGCCATCGTGCCCAAATAATGCATAGATAGTTTGAGAGGTTCACTTACGATTTCATGTCGCCAAATGCTTCAGCCATGCACGGCGATGTCATGTCTTGCCAAACAAACTCAAGGCCTGTCTGGAAAAGGTACGTGTATTGCCTGCCCCACCACTCCCTGACTTCTTGATTGTTCAAGTTAGGATAGTAGCCCGGAGCTCCCCTACCATCTCCATAATCGACGCCCCCTCTGAATGGGACTGGGGGATTCTGATTGAAAAGATTCTCAAATTGGTAATCACCTCTGGTCTCGTACTTTGGTAGGTCACCAAAGTTGTTGGGGTTCTTAAAGTATCTGTTTCCGGCCCCAAAGTTGAGAGATATCTGCTTGTCATAGGAGCTCGCCGACGGATCGACATCACGGCGATCCATGACAAAGTATTTATTCTTTAAGCCCTCATCAAGAACTGAGTAGGGATTTTTAGGGTCAGAAAGGAGGCTAATGACAGGTGTGATATTTGTACTGCATTTGACTCCCTGCTTCCGGAGCCGACTGAACATTTCCTCGGGCTGTGGAAAATGACCTTCGTCTGTGTTGATACTGAAGGTTCGGTATAGGCGCTGAATGTCGACGTCGATGTGCATTCCGTCCAGTGGGATTTGGTACTTCCTATACTGGTTGACTGTATTCTCTACCTTTTTTCGCGTGTCATAGCCATAACATCCTTGATGATTTCCCAGCACGAAGCGCGGATTCAGCTGGGGCCTGCCAATGAGCGACGTGTACAGGCGAATCACTTGTGCAACATCGTCACCAGCGATGAAAATGCTTTGGAAGCTATTGAATCTAGTTGCGATACGGAGCTGCGTAGTATCAACGCGGCCAAGGTCTAGCTTGACATCGGAATAGTTGTCCACAAATGTGGCTAACTGAGATTGTGTACCAGGATGTGCATTCATTTCGATCCAGTATGGCTCAGAATGATACAAAGGCTCACTATCTGAATACGGCCCATCCTTGCGATCTTTTCCATAGACGTTGAAGTATCGCATGTTGTCAAAATCTCAAAGAAACTGTTAGGCCACCGAGCAACGTACTGACGATGGCAAGACTCACTAAAGTAGTTCATGCAGACGTTGTCTTTGAACAGCCTGCGCCCGCCTTGCTCACCGAAGCCCGCATATCTTGCGCTCAGCGGCTTTTCAACTGCCAGAACAGTTGCATTGTCTAGCCATTGTAGTGGATCATTTTTGGTTCGCCAGATGACAGCAACTTGTGAGTCTGGAGGCGTGTTGATTGTCAACTTTTTCATATGCTCAGGCTTGGCATTTGAAATTGATGACAAGGTTGGTAGCTGCGTCAGAACACTGGTGGTTCTGATTGCTCTGACTGCGGTGATGTTGATTGGTGTCCGCTCAATCCACAGCTGGACAATAACCTTGCGAGACGGATCGTCTACTGATTCAGAGCCGAGGACTGATTGTAAAACGTAGTATTCATCATTCGGCTGTACGAGTTCGACATGCCAGGACAAGCCCTCTGCAAGGTCTAAAATCTCAATAGTCTTTGTAAGTGTATCCTGGACGATGGTTCTCGTGTTATAGTCGGAAAAGTCCGAGGGCGTTGTATTTGTGCTATGAAACCTGATACGCCAGACTTGTGGACGCATGAATTGGATCAGCAGGAAACCCAACTGGTCATTGAAACGAAAGATTCTTCCATGGCTTGAGACTGGAAGCGGTGTGCCATTGACTTGCTGATCTACCTCTTCGCATGAAATTGAATGAGGCCGTTTTGTCTTTCCACTAGCAATCTCTTTAAAGAACCACTCTGCTGGTTTGAAGATGTACGGGTCTTGGGTCTTCCAATATTCCGCGGGCGTATCAGCATTGTCTGAAGTCGGCGGAGACACCTCGAGTGCCTCGAGCCCCATTTCGTCGAATTCGAAGACAAGTGTAAAAAGGAACTAAGAGTGGAAGGTAGGCAACAAAACTCACGTGTTTCGTCTAAGTTATTGACAGATGATAAAAAAAAGTCAATTTCTCATCTGAGGTTGATTAGTGCAGAAAGGGGAAGCATTGACCCTGCATAAAATGCTGCAGGCTAAGCAAGGCTAGAGCTGGAGCTAAATCACTAGTACGCGGAGCAAAGCGGTCTGGGCTTCTCGACAACGCATCTTTTGTGATTCTGCATAGTCAAACGATGGTTCGTGCATAACAGCGAAAGGCTATATAGACGACGATGAAGCTTGCTAACCGAGCTGCAGGTTTACATGTAGCTGTTCCAGCTTGTGCAAGAGAAGTACATTATGTTTAGTATTAGATTTAAGGAGTAAAGATGAAGTATAGATAAATAATAGTTCATTGCTCGAGCTAACCCGTAGGCAAGCGAGGAAGAGGGGGGAAGGTGTTACAAGCAACAAGCAGAAGGATCCTCTCCCTGGGTATGACGATGAATGGTTGGGAAACCACTGGGGATCCCAACGGGCATGATCATCGCG